AGCTTGCGAATGTGATGGTGGTGCCTAGGCCTAAACCGAAGAGAAAGAGTGGCTAAAATGAAGAGTTCATTAGTAGAGGAGAGGAATTTAACCCAACATGTTTTGGAGTATGAGCCCAAAAGCTTAATTAGCTGACTCTACTAGGAAAGTGATGTAGTGGAAGCACTAAGAGTTTTGATCTCTTGAGGTAGAGTTCGAACCCCTTCTTTCTAAGGAGCCAGAGAGAACTTTAACCCCCATGAGTTCACTCTATCAAAGTGGCCCTTTACTTCAGGCACAGCTCCGTTTACACTTGTGGTGGAAGACCAGCAAAGGCAATGGGGAGGGAAAGATGTCAAATTACTAGGGCAAGAGTAAGCGGTAAAAAATTCTTTCAGATAAGGTGTATGAGTTGGTCGTATCGGAACCGAGGGTATGAGGCCCGTACTCAAAGAAATACTACTGATAATAAGGCCGCTTTAGTTATAAGATTTACAGCAGTTAGTTCTGGAAAAGAAGGGATGTGGTAGGCCCCTAAAAAGAGGGTGGCGGATAAAGTGTTTATAAGAAGAATATTGGCATATTCTGCAAGGAAGAAAAGGGCAAATGGTCCCCCGGCATACTCTACATTAAAGCCAGAGACTAGTTCGGATTCACCTTCAGTTAAATCAAAGGGGGCACGGTTGGTTTCAGCTAGGGTAGAAATGTATCACATAGCTGCAAGGGGTCAGGCGGGGATGATTAGTCAGACGCTTTCTTGAGCCACATTAAAAGTTTGTAGGGTAAACCCTCCTGTAAAGATGATGATGTTTAATAAAATAAGGCCTAGGCTTACTTCATAGGAGATGGTTTGGGCTACGGCTCGTAAGGCTCCAATTAAGGCATACTTAGAATTGGAGGCCCAGCCTGAGCCAAGAATAGAGTAGACTGCCAGACTAGATAGGGCAAGAATAAATATGATACCTAGATTAAGGTCAATTACTGGGTGGGGGATTGGCATGGGTGCTCAAAGGGCAAGGGCAAGGGTTAAAGCTAGAATGGGAGCTAAAAGGAACAGGAGGGGGGAGGCTGTTGAAGGTCGAATCGGTTCTTTAATGAATAGCTTTAGTCCGTCAGCAATAGGTTGAAGGAGACCGTAAGGGCCAACGATGTTAGGACCTTTACGAAGTTGTATATATCCCAGTACTTTCCGTTCAAGTAATGTTAGAAAAGCAACGGCTAGTAGTACTGGAACAATAAAGGTTAGTGGATTAATAATATGGGTAATAATGGTGGATATCATAGCTAAGGAGAGGATTTGAACCTCTGTTGAAAGGGCTTAGGCCTTTCGCAGTAACCGGGCTCTGCCACCCTAACATGCCGTAATCTCCGGCAGGGGGGTATGCCCTTTTGTCTGTTTTAGTTAAATTCAACAGGTAAGGGAGAGGCGTACCAGTGGTATAGGCCTCCTCTTCTCGGTCCTTTCGTACTAGAGAAGAGCACAGCATAGATAGAAACTGACCTGGATTACTCCGGTCTGAACTCAGATCACGTAGGACTTTAATCGTTGAACAAACGAACCCTTAATAGCGGCTGCACCATTAGGATGTCCTGATCCAACATCGAGGTCGTAAACCCCCTTGTCGATATGGGCTCTAAAAGAGGATTGCGCTGTTATCCCTAGGGTAACTAGGTCCGTTGATCGGCATTGCCGGATCTTTTAGGTCAGAAATTCTGTTTATTAGAGTTGTAACTCTCAGCTGTAGGAGGGGTGCTCCCATTCCACATGGGGGTTATTTACTTCCCCGCGGTCGCCCCAACCAAAGACATCAGGGTGGGTTCCATCTTGTTCAATCCTTTATTTAGGGTCATTGACATGATCCACTTTAGTGTCTAAAGCTCCATAGGGTCTTCTCGTCTTATGTAGTAATCCCCGCTTCTGCACGGGGAGATCAATTTCATTGACTGGAAAAAGGAGACAGCTAAGCCCTCGTTATGCCATTCATACAGGTCTCCATTTAAAAGACAAGTGATTGCGCTACCTTCGCACGGTCAAAATACCGCGGCCGTTAAACTTATAGTCACAGGGCAGGCGGGACCTCTTATTTATTGAATACAAGAGGCGATGTTTTTGGTAAACAGGCGAGGCTTTATGTGTTTGCCGAGTTCCTTCTCTTTCTTTTAGTCTTTCCCGGGGGCACACCTGTGTGGGGTTAACGGTCAAATGTTGGGTAGTTTTCTAGTTATTTAGTTTATTACCCAGGTCCCTCTTTGGTTGGGTTCGTTAAAGGTCGGCGGGTTGTCCGTTCCGATGTACACGTGTGCGGGGAGGGAGGCATTGGCTCCCTTATTACTCATATTAGCATAATCGCTCCCATGAAGGCATGGGATGGTCCAGTATAGATAGGGGGATAAGATTTGGTGATCAGGATAAGAGGATTTAAGTAGGGTACTTGAGCTTTGACGCTTTCTTAGAGGATGGCTGCTTTCAAGCCCACCAGAGTACTTCCCTTTGGTTTATTATGATCTTTACCCTCCTGATAAAGTTGTGTCTTTGTTCAAAGGGGCTGTACCCCCTTTGACTAACTCTCATGGTTTCTTAAATACATCAATAGGTGTTAGACTAATGTGAAAAGAGAAGCCGGGAGGCTGAACTTCTATTCATTTCTTGGACAACCAGCTATAACTAGGTTCGGTAGGTCTGTCACCTCTACTCAAAGCTCGCCCCACTCTTTTGCAACAGAGACGGGTGTGCCCTATTAATAGGCTGTCTTGGAGTAGCTCACGTAGTTTCGGGGCATTAAACTATAGGTCTCTTTGCTTAAGTTACACTTGCTAAATCATGATGCAAAAGGTACGAGGTTAAATCTCTGCTTCTCTTAGCTTGTCTGGGTTGTTTCATTTCTCTTTCAGCGTTCCCTTGCGGTACTTTCTCTATAGCGCCGTATGTCCTTTTCTATCGCCTATACTAAGGTGGAAAAATGGTTTGTTTAATTTAAGTTAAGTGTCCTTTGGGGTTATCAAGATTGAATCGTTGAAATTGTTTGGGCGGGCTAGCTGTTAGGCATCAGGGCGATCCGATTTGCACGGATGACTTCTCAGTGTAAGGGAGATGCTTTGCTATCTTAGCTACGCTCTGCTTTGCCAAGTGCACCTTCCGGTACACTTACTATGTTACGACTTGCCTCCCCTTTGCAATTATTAGTTTTTAAGTAATTATGTTGTTAGGCTTGGGGAGAGTGACGGGCGATGTGTGCGCGCTTCAGGGCCAATTTCAGTAGAACACTCTATTTTCTACTTACTGCTAAATCCTCCTTCAGATGTACATTTCAGGGCATCATTCGTGTTCGCTATTTGTAGCGAATGTAGCCCATTTCTTCCCTCCACATACGCTACACCTCGACCTGACGTTTAGGGTTGAACCAGTTTAGCTTACTATTAGTCCCTCACAGGGTAAGCTGACGACGGTGGTATATAGGCGGTATTAACAAGGGGAGGTGAGGTTGAACGGGGGTTATCGGTTCTAGAACAGGCTCCTCTAGGTGGATCTAAAGCACCGCCAAGTCCTTTGGGTTTCAAGCTGATGCTTGTAGTCCCCGGGCGGATAGTGGTTGTAAAATTCTATCAATGTTTAGGGCTAGGCATAGTGGGGTATCTAATCCCAGTTTGTGCCGTAGCTTTCGTGGGTTCAGGTTAAATAAAGCCACCTTCGTGGTTGAACTTCTCACCTCCGGGTGCGTATAACAGCTTTGGGGGCGTTCGGCTTTAGTTTTAATTTTAGCTTAACCACTCTTTACGCCGGAATTCATCAACTTGGGCCTCTCGTATAACCGCGGTGGCTGGCACGAGTTTTACCGGCCCTCTTAGCTTTAACTAAGTCAAGTTTTCACTTATAGCTTAATGTTTGTCACTGCTGAATTCCCTTGGGGGTGTGGCTAAGCAAGGCGTCGTGGGCTCAAAAAGATGTGCCTGATACCAGCTCCTTGTTCCCGGGCGGGGAACTGTAGGGCATCCTCACAGGGGTGCGGATACTTGCATGTGTAAGTTTGGCTAAAGTTGATGTCAAAGTCAGGACCAAGCCTTTGTGCTTGCGAGGCTTTCTAGGGCCCATCTTAACATCTTCAGTGTTATGCTTTAGTTAAGCTACGCTAGCATGTGTATTATTGCAATAGTGTATATAAGCGCATTTTGGGAAAAAAACAAGCTACTAGGGGTTTTCCTGTTTCCGGGGGGTTTTCAGGAATCTTAGACATTCTAGGAGTTTTAGGGGGTAGGGGGGTTTTACGCGAAGAAACCCAGGGTCGTAAAGGATAACTTCCTATTGAGAAATCTCTTATTATGCTCTTGAGATACCTTATGCATGTATTATAGATATATCTTTACAACACTCACCTTATTACCTGCTTGACGCGATAAATGATCACCCTTGTCAGCTAAACCCGTGTGCACTCTGAAATGCAAAGTGAAAGGAAATAAAAAAAAAAAACCCGTAGCCCATTAGAAAGAACGCTCGGCATGGTCGGTTCTCGGAGTAGTACTTCACCATTAACTTATGTAAGCGTCGATAAAAGTGGAGGGAATATATCAAGTCATGGCCCTGAAGTAGGAACCCAAATGCCAGGAATAATTCACCTTGTGAAACCCCCACGAATACTTGTCCCTCACCTTCAATAACCGTTGGCATTAAGAAATCAACTGATGGTAGGCTCTTACTACATCCAGAATCTTGAATTGACGGGATTTGGAGTAAACGTATAACTTAACTTATGAATAATTAGTTAGGTCTTAAGTTTCGCCTGTCTATATATAAATCTTAATTATACCTTATTGAATTGCTTTATGAATACTTCGAAATATGGTGTTATATGAGGGTGTTATTTCTATAAGTGTCAATTAAACATTATGTGTACTTGAATGTCCATGAATTGGTTAATATAAGTGTATGCTTATTATACATACATGCATTATAGGACTAAAGGTAGGGGCAAGTAGGCGGCAAGAAGGCGCCAAAAAGGCGCCAAGAAGGCGCCAAGAAGGCGCCAAGAAGGCACCCAAAAGGCACCCAAAAGGCACCAATAAAGTATTGTGGCAGAGAATAGTTTAGTTTAGAATCCTGGCTTTGGGAGTCAGGGGTGGGAGTTAAAATCTCCTTTCTCTGAGCAGAAGGGAGGGATTTAACCTCCGGCATCCGGCTTACAAGACCGGCGCTCTGGCGCTGAGCTACTTTTGCATGTTCATTCAAGCATTTTGTTCTCTATTACTGCTGCTCCTGGGTATAAAACTAGGAATAAAGAGAAGTAAAGTACGGATGCAACTTGTCCAATAATGATGAAGGGGTGTTCAACGGGCATGCCGCCAATTCAGGTAAGAATGGCTACATCTGCAATAAGAGTTCAAAATAAAAATTGCGTAATGGGTCGAAATGTAAGGCCACGTTGTTTTGATGTGTGGAGGATGGGGACTACTATTAAGACTAGGATAGAGGCAAGAAGTGCAAGGACACCACCAAGTTTATTTGGGATAGACCGAAGAATGGCGTAGGCAAATAAGAAGTATCATTCAGGTTTGATGTGAGGTGGAGTGACTAATGGGTTTGCAGGGGTGAAGTTATCAGGATCTCCAAGCAGGTTAGGAGCAAATAGTGCTAGGGATGTAAGGGCAATTAGTAGGGCTGCGAAGCCTAGGAGGTCTTTATAAGAAAAGTAGGGGTGAAAGGAGATTTTGTCAGCGTCTGAGTTCAGGCCAAGGGGGTTATTAGAGCCTGTTTGGTGAAGGAAAAGAAGGTGAACAAGTGTGGCACCAGCAATCACAAATGGGAACAAGAAGTGAAAGGCAAAGAAACGTGTTAAGGTGGCGTTGTCAACGGAAAAGCCTCCTCAAATTCATTGAACTAATGAATTGCCAACGTATGGGACGGCTGAAAGTAGGTTGGTAATAACTGTAGCTCCTCAGAAAGACATTTGTCCTCATGGAAGGACATAACCAACGAAGGCTGTTATCATAACTAAAAGTAGAAGAACTACTCCGATGTTTCAGGTCTCTTTATATAAGTAAGAGCCATAGTAAAGTCCTCGGCCAATATGTATATAGATACAGATGAAGAAAAAGGATGCGCCGTTGGCGTGGAGGTTTCGAATTAGTCAACCGTAATTTACATCTCGGCAGATATGTCCGACGGAGGAAAAAGCTGTAGCAATATCGGAAGTGTAGTGTATTGCAAGGAAAAGCCCAGTGAGAATTTGGATAATTAAGCAAAGTCCAAGGAGGGAACCAAAGTTTCATCATACTGAAATATTTGAGGGGGCTGGGAGGTCGACTAGTGCATTGTTAGCGATTTTTAGTAGGGGGTGCGTTTTTCGTAGGCTTGCCATTAAATGTTCCTGTAGTTGAATTTACAACGATGGTTTTTCAAGTCGTTAGTCCTGGTTAAAGTCCTGGTAGGAATTATGACCTATGTTATATCTTTATTTCTGTTAGGGTTGGTTTTAGGACTAGTAGCTGTTTCTTCTAACCCTTCTCCTTATTTTGCTGCTTTAGGGTTGGTGATGGTAGCAGGTATGGGTTGTGGCGTGCTAGTAAGTCATGGGGGCCCATTTTTATCCCTGGTTTTGTTTCTTATCTATTTAGGAGGAATGTTAGTTGTTTTTGCATATTCAGCAGCTTTGGCCGCCGAGCCGTTCCCGGAGGGGTGAGGAAGTCGACAGGTAGGGGTATACATAGTCTTATATGGGGCAGGGGTTGGGTTGGTATCAAATATGTTTTGGGAGGGGTGGTATGAGGTGTCATGGGTCCCGGCTGATGAACTTGACGGGTTTACTATATTTCGGGGGGATATTGGCGGGGTTGCTATGATGTATTCTTTGGGGGGAGGAATACTTGTTCTTAGTGCATGGGCCCTTCTTCTTACTTTATTTGTGGTATTGGAGTTAACCCGAGGCCTTAGCCGTGGCTCAGTCCGGGCGGTTTAAAAAGAGGCCAAAAGCATTGCTAATGCTAGGGTTAAAAGGAATAGTGCTAAGTAAGTTTTAACTAGTCCTCGTTGTGTATTGCTGGTAGTGGTAATGAGAGGGGTTGTGTGATATACAATGGCTTTAGGTCCGATTTTTTTGATTCAAGTTTGATCAAGCATTTGGCTGGCAATTGTTTGACCTAAGGTAAGTCCAAATTTGGGGGTTAGACGGTGAATAATTGAGGGGAAGAAACCAAGCATGTTAGAAAAGTGATGTGGGGTTAAGCGGGGGGTGGGGTGGTACTGTTTAGCAGTAAGTGAGGCTAGTTCTAGAGCAATAAGCAGGCCTAGTACGGAAACGATAAGAGCAGCAAGTTTAAGGAGAGGGGGTATAGTAATAATAGGGGTTTTTATGGGGATAATAGTTGAGGTGATTAAAAAGCCGGCAATAATGCTGCCTCATGCTAGTCGTTTGATAGGGTTAATTACTGCAGGGTTATTTTCGTTAATAGGGGAAAGTGAATTAAATCGGGGGTAGCCTATGGATACAAAGAAGATTACTCGGAGGCTATAAATGGCTGTAAAAGAAGTGGCAAGAAGGGTGAGGACCAGGGCTCAGGCGTTTAAGTGGGATGTGTTAAGAGCCTCAAGAATAGCGTCTTTAGAAAAGAACCCGGCAAGGAAAGGAGTACCTGCTAGGGCAAGGCTTCCAATTGTTAGGCATGATGAGGTAAAAGGGGTGAGAAAATGTATGCCTCCTATTTTACGGATGTCTTGTTCATCATTGAGGCTATGGATTACGGAGCCGGAACACAGAAAAAGCATAGCTTTAAAGAAAGCATGTGTACAGATGTGGAGGAAGGCTAGGTGTGGTTGGTTTAGTCCGATGGCAACTATTATGAGGCCGAGTTGACTGGATGTAGAGAAGGCAACAATTTTTTTAATGTCGTTTTGGGTGAGGGCACATGTAGCTGTAAAGAGTGTGGTGAGGGCTCCTAAACATAAGCAGATGGTTAAGGCAGTTTGATTTCCCTCAAGAAGTGGGCTGAGTCGGACTAAAAGGAAGATACCTGCGACGACTATAGTGCTAGAGTGTAGTAGGGCAGATACTGGTGTAGGGCCTTCTATGGCCGAAGGCAGTCAGGGGTGAAGTCCAAATTGGGCGGACTTACCAGCGGCAGCAACAATCAAGCCGAGGAGGGGGAAAGTAAGGTCAAAGTCTTTAGAGGCAACAAAGATTTGTTGAATTTCTCAAGAGTTTAACTTTGTGGCTATTCAAGCCATAGCAAAAATGAGGCCGATGTCCCCGATTCGGTTATATACTACGGCTTGAAGAGCGGCGGTGTTAGCATCTGCTCGCCCACCCCATCAGCCAATTAGGAGAAATGATATAATGCCTACCCCTTCTCACCCAATGAATAATTGAAATATATTGTTGGCTGTAACAAGGGTAAGTATAGCCATAAGAAAGATTAGTAGATATTTGAAGAATCGGCTGATGTTAGGATCTGAGTGTATGTATCATGAGGCAAATTCAAGGATAGATCATGTAACATATAAAGCAACAGTTGTAAAGATAACAGAATACTGGTCAAACTTAAAGCTTAGGTTAATTTCAAAACATGTTGTGTTTATTCAGGTTCAAGATGAGACGATTGTTTCTGCCCCCTCATTGAAGAACATGAATAATGGGAGGAGACTGATGAAGAAAGAGAGTTTTACTGCTGATGTGATATTAGGGACGGTTTGGTTAAGAACCGAATTACCTTGAACTAAAGCTGAGAGTAAGGCGAAAGATAAGACCACAAGGATAATGATTATACCGGAGTAGAGAACAGAGGGGGTTTGTCACATTTTTACTCCTGCTTGGATTTGCACCAAGAGTTTTTGAATCCTAAGTCCAATGGATGAGCTGTTGTCCTACAGAAGTTGGTCGAGTGAGCTCTGGGGTTCAACCAAAGTCGCGGAGATTAGCAGTCTTCGTTGCTAGCGAGCCTCTCTCGGGGGAAAGGGGAGACTAACCCCTGTCTTTAGAATCACAATCTAATATTTTACTAAACTATACCTACATGTGGCTCAGCCTCAGACCAATTCGGGCTTAAGTACAAGCAGAAGGAGGGGGATAAGGTGTAGGGCCATGATTAGGTGTTCCCGAGTGTGGGAGGGGTCTAAAGCAATTATATGTGCGGGAAGAGGTCCCCGCTGAGTTATAATGAACATATAAAGAGAGTAGCTGACAGTAATTAAAGTGCCTGCGCCAGTTAGGGCGAGAGTTCATCAGGACCAACTAAATAGTGAAGTAATAATTATTAATTCTCCTATAAGGTTTGGAAGTGGGGGTAATCCAAGGTTTGCAAGGCTTGCAATGAACCATCATGTTGTTATTAGAGGGAGGGCTATTTGCAGTCCTCGACCTAGTAATAATGTACGGCTGTGTGTCCGTTCATAGTTTGTGTTAGCCAGGCAAAAGAGAGCGGAGGATGCAAGTCCGTGGGCAATTATAAGAATTAAAGCACCAGACAAGCTTCAGGGGGTTTGAATAAGAATAGCTGCTACAACTAGACCTATGTGACTGACTGAAGAGTAGGCGATTAGTGATTTTAGGTCTGTTTGCCGGAGGCAAATAGACCCGGTTATTACCACCCCCCAGAGGGCAAAGATGATGAAGGGGTAACCTAATTCTTTGGTTAAAGGGTCAAGGATGGGAATTATGCGGATTATTCCGTAACCCCCAAGTTTTAGAAGTACGGCAGCCAGAATTATAGAACCAGCAACTGGGGCCTCTACATGTGCTTTTGGGAGCCAAAGATGTACTCCGTACAATGGCATTTTTACAAGGAATGCGAGAAGGCAACTTGCTCACCATAGTTTGTCCGCGAAAGTAGAAAGATGAAAGGGGTCTGAGTATTGGATGGTTAATAAGGATAGCGTTCCCGCGCTGTTCTGAAGTAGAAGAAGGGCAACGAGAAGGGGTAAGGAGCCTGCGAGGGTATAAAATAGAAAATATACACCTGCGTTTAGACGTTCTGTTTGGTTCCCTCATCGTGTAATAATTACAAGGGTGGGGATTAGAGTGGCTTCGAACATGACGTAGAACATGATGATCTCAGTAGCGCCAAATGCTAGGATAAGGAAAATTTGGAGGGATGTTAGTAGGGTAATATAAACTCGTTGGCGATTGCAGGGTTCAGCAGCTGTGTGGTTTTGACTAGCAATAATTATGAGTGGGAGCAATCAGCAAGTGAGAACAAGAAGTGGGGTTGATAGGGAGTCGGTGGCCAGGTAATAGTTAAGGCTAGTTCAGCCCGTTTCACTTATGTTAGCAAATCATGTTAAGCTAAACACGGCGATGAGAAGGCTGTGGGCTAGTGTTGAAGGTCACAGTCAGTTTGGTTTTGTTAGTCATGTCGTTGGGATTAGCATAAGGGTTGGAATTAGAATTTTTAGCATTGTAGCAGGTTGAGGTTTTGGAGGTGATCTGTCCCATGTGTTCGTGCAGCAGCGACTAGAAGGGCAAGACCTGCACTTGCTTCACAAGCTGAGAAGGCCAGAAGAAGCATAGGGGCCCCCGAGAAGTTTGTTGAGTCTAATTGTAGGGTTCAGAGAGATAGGGCAATAAATAAAGATAATATTATTCCTTCAAGGCAGAGAAGGGCGGATAGTAGGTGGGTTCGATGAAAGGCCAGGCCAGTAAGGCCCAATATGAAAGCCGAAGAGAAAGCAAAGTGAACAGGAGTCATTAGGCAGTTGTGGACTTTAACCACAAGTTTTTGAGCCGAAATCAAAGGTTTTTCTTAAACTAACTTCCTATTCAGCTCATTCTAGGCCTCCTTGCATTCACTCGTAGATGAGACCTAATGTTAGGAGGGTAAGAACTGCTGTTGCTCACAAAAATGTAAAAAGGGGGGAGGCTAATTGGTCTCCCCATGGTAATGGAAGGAGAAGGGCAATTTCTAGGTCAAAGAGGAGGAAAAGGATAGCCACTAGGAAGAATCGTAGGGAGAAAGGAAGACGGGCGGAGCCTAGAGGGTCAAAGCCACATTCATAAGGGGAGAGTTTTTCATGGTCAGGGGTTATTTGTGGTAGTCAGAAGGATACCAGGGCTAATACGACAGAAAGTGCGGCTGTAATTGAGACCACAGTTGTTACTAAGTTCATTATCTTTCCTTGGATTTTAACCAAGACCGGGTGATTGGAAGTCACTTATACTAAGCTGTACTAGAAAGATTAAGATCCTCATCAGTAGATAGAGATATATAGGAAAAGTCACACAACGTCTACGAAATGTCAGTATCAAGCAGCTGCCTCGAATCCGAAGTGGTGCTCAGCTGTGAAGTGATGACGAATTTGACGTAGGAAACAAACAGCTAAAAATGAAGAGCCAATAATGACATGTAGACCATGAAAGCCTGTGGCAACAAAGAAGGAAGAGCCATAAACCCCGTCTGCAATTGTAAAGGGGGCTTCATAGTACTCCATGCCTTGAAGAAAGGTGAAGTAGAACCCAAGAAGAATAGTTAAGGCGAGGGATTGAATGGTTTGTTTACGTTCACCTTCTATAATGCTATGGTGGGCTCATGTAACTGTAACTCCAGATGCAAGAAGAACTGCAGTGTTTAGAAGAGGGACTTCAAAGGGGTCTAGGGTAGTAATACCGGTTGGAGGTCAGCAACCTCCGAGTTCTGGTGTAGGGGCAAGACTAGCGTGGTAAAAAGCTCAGAAAAACCCTAGGAAAAAGAAAACTTCAGAAGTAATGAATAGAATTATACCGTAGCGAAGGCCTTTTTGTACTGGGGGTGTGTGGTGTCCTTGAAAGGTGCCTTCCCGTACAATGTCTCGTCATCACTGATATATCGTTAGGAGAAGGAGGGCTATTCCCAGGCTTATTAAGGTTGTGGATTGGAAGTGGAATCAGGTTGCTAAACCTGATGTCATTAGTAAAGCGGCGATTGCGCCTGTCAAAGGTCAAGGGCTAGGGTCAACTATGTGGTAGGGGTGTGCTTGATGGGTCATTAAACGTTTTCTTGTAAGTAAAGGGTTAATAGAAGAACAAACACGTAGGCTTGAATTATAGCTACGGCGACTTCAAGAAGGGTGAGTAAAAATAGTACT